GCCCTGTGGTCTTGGGAAAGCCTTGGTGTGGTGACAGCCGACTCAGGGAGGCTGTGGCCAGCAGCAGCTGTGCAGTCCCTGTCACAGAACACCTGCAGGAGCACCCAGAGGAGGCAGCCCGTGCCCAAACACCGCCCACCTCCCTGAGCTCCCAAACGAAGCTGAGTCCCTCTGTGGGGACAGCAGCAGTGCCTGTGTTTGGGAAGTTGGCCTCAGTGGCACAGCTGGGATTGGGGTGCCATGCCTACTGCCCTGGCTGCTGGCAGGGATCCCCACATCCCCAGGGATCCTTCCAGAGGCTCTGGAGCCCTGGCTCTCAGGGATCTGCATCCTAATAAGCACCATGATGTAACTCTGAGTAAGTCTTGCAAGGGATCAGCCTGAGGAAGCTGCCATTTCTTACCTTTTTTTCCCCCTCCCTTTGTTTCTGCTCTGGTTGAGGTCACCCAGTCTGAACCTCAGCAACACATGCACCTTCTTCCCCTTCTCTTCCCATCCGTGGCCTCATTCCCAAAGAGAATCCCTGTGTCTGTGCCAGCACAGATGCTGCTGCCTGTACCTAAAGCTCTGGAATGGTTAATTAATTTATTTCTACATGATTCCCAGTGTGGGAATGGCTCCAAGTCTCTGTAACATCTCTGGACTCTGTCTCCACCAATTATCTCTGATGTCCGTGTGTTTGGTGTTCCTGCAGGCTATCGACCCATCAGCTGCTTCCCACACATCCAGTGCCCACAAGCCTCCCACGGATGCATCAAGATGCTCCAAAAGTCTTTAAAACAGTTTTTGTTCTCTCCTAGCTGGGGTCAGGAGGAGGTTCACCTCTCCAGGGTGTTTGCATGGCATTGCTGCGGTATCTCCCGCATTCCTTCACTCTGTGTGGGAGGACAGGCATGGAATTGTGAGCAATTTGACCATTTTATTCCCTCTTCTGCCTGCAGAAACCACTGTCTGTCAATCCTGGAAACCCTTCAGTCTTCTGCACAACTCCCTGGCCCTGGGCTGGCTCCAGTGCTGCTCTGCAGGCTGCTCTCCTCCCTCTAGGGGATGGTCCAGGGTGGTCTCTCCTCTTCCTCTAGGCACTGGTGGGGAAGAGGACACCAAGATGGATGAAGGTTTTACACAGAGAAGAGCCAAGCCCCTCTGGGAACCCCAAGGACCAAAGTGGAAGGTGTCAGGATCCAATGGGACTCATGATTGCAGTGGTGCCCACCAAATCCCTGGAGCTCTGAGGCTTTTGCTGTGCCAGCAGGGAGGTCCCTTTCCTGTGGGATCATCTCTTCTTCCTCCCAGCTGGTGCTGAGTCTCTCGACTGGGTTCTTCCCAGTTGGCTCCACTTCCCCCATGTCACAGGGAGCCATGAGTGTAGCTGCTGCTCAGCAACAAAAAATGTGATACGGGTTATAAAAATGTTGCAGTAAGGTCGAAAAATCATGAAGAAAGGCTTCATAAAATCAGGCCTGCTCTGGCTAGCCTGTCATTTCTTCAAAGGCACTTTGCAAGTTCCCATGTGAAAGCAATCCAGCAATCCTGTTGTGAGCAGTTTGTTAGCACAACAATCTATTCCTGGCTGAAAAACAACTGGCACCTGCATAAACTGTTTTTACACCATTAGATAGAAAAATGAAAAGTATCTCTCACAAACAGCTTTCCTGCATGTACTCCCAGGGGATTTGAGTGACTAATCAATACAGAATAACAACTTGTTACTAACCAATAATTGACAAGAAAGCTACTAACCCACTGGAGTCACACACGAGGTCTGTAAAACTGTATAAAAAGGAGTTACGTGAATAAAGAATGGGCTTTTTCCACCATGAAGAAAATTGAGTCCCATGCGATTTATTCCCATATAAAAACACCAGAAGTGATGGGAAAGCGGTGTTTTCCACCTGGTGGGACATCTCCAAGAAGCTCCATACAGGAGGGGATGGTCCAGGAGGCCAGCTGGAGCTTCACCATCCTCCTCTCCTGGGTGGCTTGGCCTGAGGATTCAGTAGAGGAGAGAGCAGAGCATCCCCATGATCTGCCAGGGTGGATTCAGCTCCTCTGCTCCAGTCTGCAGCCTAATTGCAGGTGGGACCAGGAAGAGGAGTCTTTCTCTGTTTACTCACATAGTTTCAAGGTGAGTAACACTCGCTGGGCCCAGCTCTGGCTCCGTGGTGCTGTCAGAGTGAGACCTTCCCCTCCCAGCTGCCCCAGCCCCTGGGCTGCCAGGATGGGCTGAAGAAGCTGTCAAATGGAAGGACACAGGGCTTTGAACCCCCTCCTGCACCATCCCAGAGGGGCTGGGGCCACAGAACTCTCCTTGCCTGGCACTGAGGATCTTTGTCCTCTTTTCCTCCCCTTCCCCCTTCCTTTTGGCACACAAGGAGCTGCTTTGATGCCCTCATGAGACATATTTTCCACCGATAACAGATCCTTGTGATAACAGATCCTTGTGGTCGCCCCTGTGACTGACTCATTCTTCCCAGGGGCTAAATTCTGGTGTCTTCAGCTCCCTTCAGGCACCTTGGGAAAGGAGATATCTTGTTTCCTTCATAACTACCTCTACCAAATAACCCCCTCCTGCCTCTGCTCAGGCCTGCCAGTCCTGACCCTGCAGCTTGGCCAACCCTTAGCCAGCCTGTCCCCAGGAACTCCCTGTCCCTTGGATGTGGGAGCAACCCTTGCTGATGGGTTTCCCTCCTCCACAACCTTTCCTTCCATGGGCTGAAGCAGAGGATCCCAGGAAAACATCAGACCTCAGTGAGCTTCTACACCCAGCAGAGTGAGTGGTCTTGGTGTCCTGGGCGGCTTCCTCTTCCAGGAATTACTTTTTGAAGCCACCCTCATCCTCCCCTGTCAGGAGAAATCCTATGGAGAAACATCTTCAGACATGCTGGATGCATTGGATGGTGCTGGGTTTTGCACAAGAGGCAGTGAATCATCACCCTCTCATCACTTATCTTCTCTGGACTCATGAGGATATCACAGACCTCGGTCACTCTGCCCTTGGTACCCCCTTCCCAGCCTATTTCACCACCGTTTTCACAGCAACCTGAGTTTTCAAGGAAGTGGGCTGGGGACAGTGACTGTTTGAGGGTGTTTCCCAAGGAAAGCTGCTGGGGGAAGGATGCTCATGGGATTTGGGAAGCCGCCCTTGTTTGCCGGGGCTGTGCAGGGTGTGAGGAGCCTTGTCTGGGAACACGGTGTGCTCTGCAGCCGCCGGCAGTGGGAGGTGGTGGTGGCTCCCGGGGTTATTGCTGCACCACTGAGGTAAGAGGGATTAGCGCCGCGAGGTTGGGAAAGGGCCGGACCCTCTTGCCGAGCTGGAGTCGAATTGCAGCAGGAGCACCAGCGGCTCCACAGAGAGCCCGAGGCCACGGGCTGGCAATCACCACCCCGGCAGGCTGGGACATCTTATTGCCCTCGTAAAAACCTCTTTTCACTCATCAGGCTAATGTGGGTTTTGGCTGGAGCAATTAGAGCCTCACAAAGGGCCCGCTCGCCTCCCACTGCCACATCCCCGCCGTCCCCAAGCTCCCCCTCGCTCCGCTCCGCCCTCCGTGCCAAGTATTTCCTTCTCCTTTTCTCTGCGGTGAGAAGGAAAAAATCCCAACCAAACCCCACAAAAAGGCCACTTTCCCCCCTTTTTGTCTTGCAGCTAACCCGTGGGTGCAGGGAGCTGTTGGAGCAGGAGCACCGGGCTTTTGGCAGGAATGCTGCTGGCCTGTCCCGTTCGTAGGAGCTGAGACAGCCAAGCCTGCCAAGCACTGGAGAGCTGGGGATGAACCTGAAGCCGTTCCTTGAGCTGGGAGCTGGCCAAGCTCTACTGGCCAAGTGTCTTCTTTATTCCCTTCTAGGCTTTTTCCATGCCTGGGTGTATTTCTACAGCGTGGAGATGAGTGGAAAATTACTGGTGATGCTCCAGTGCCAGGTCCCTGCCCTGGCAGAGGTGAGCTAAGGCTGCATGCTCATCCAGGGAACTTCTCACCACGGGATGCTGCTGGGGCTGGAATGCCTTGAAGAACCAGCTAAGAAGTTTAAAAAAACAAAAATAAAGCTATTAAAAAGAAATAAATATTATAAATATGTCCCTTTTTTTTTTCCCTGCTTAAAAATATTTCTCTGAAGAAATCCATCCATGCTAGCTCACTGAAGTTTTTGCAGCCCAACAGCTGTCTGGGTTCTGCTCCTCAGAAGTACCATGAGAAAGTACAAATACATCCCAAACAGAGTAGATAAACCAGGATAAACGATGTGCACCAACATCCACAGTCCCAAATCCCTGTGATCCCATCCTCAGGGAGGAAAGGAGCAGTGGCAGAGAGCTTGGGATGACAGGGAGCACCTGGGTTTGGTGGGATGGCTTAGGATGGATGGATGGATGGATGGATGGATGGATGGATGGATGGATGGATGGATGGATGGATGGATGTTTAGAGGAGCAAGGAGCAAGCCCTGAAGATCTCCCTTCTGCTGTCCAAGGCATGATTCACAGCCCACAGGCTGCTCCTCCAAGGAAGCAGAGGCAACACCACAATCTTCCTGCTATGGGAAAACCCCGACTTCAACACGCAAACCAAGGAGCTGAGGTTGGGGTGCTGCATCCCTGGGACCTGGGAGCCTCCATCCCAGTGTGGTTCCCCTCCTCTAGGCTCAGGAATGCTTATCTAACCCAGTTCCCCTGAGCCAGGACTGGTGGGAGGGACGGAGTGTGCCCTGCTCACATCCAGGTCACTGGAAAATCCCCTTGGCTGGGACAGAAGCAGCACATGGACATCACACACCTCAGACTGCTGAGCCTGGCCTCTCCCCTCCTCTGCAATGGCATCTCCAGCCTTCCTCTTTTTCTCCTGAAACTACTGATTTGGCCTGTATTTGTGAGCTGTTCTAGGGAATTTCACTCTTCAGCCAGGAAGGGCAAGCCCAGGTGTTTTGGTGCCCATCAAAGGAAAGCATCTCCTTGGCAAACATAGCAAAGCCATTCATCACCTTCAGACACCTCTCTGCCCACGCAGCAATTTTCAGTGCCTGCAAAGGAAAAGAAAATAACAATAAATGAGTGAGGCTCTTGGCTGTGCCTGCTGCAGAATCCCTGGATGGGGCTGCAGGACCTTCTCCAGCCCAGTGTGGGACATGACATCCCCCCAGGTGACTGCTTGGATGCACAATCTGTCCTTTTCCATCCCTCTGTTACTGGGACACTGATGTTGGGGCTGACCTCAGTTCCCCCAGCAGGGTTTTTACTGTGGAAACCCTCAGGAAAGAGGGCTGGGAATGAGGAGGTGGTGGATAAACCCCACTGCCAGTTTGGGGATGGCTTTATCATGCCAGGGAGAGGAGAGGAGAGGAATGGCTGCTCAGGGTTAGGGCTGAAATGACCCCCTGCCTTCCTCTTCCCCAACCCAACTCCAAGTCCTCATCATCTTGCAGCTCATGGAAACCTGTTAGAAGGAGGTTTATTCCTGGCTGACCCTCCCTCAAGGATATCTGATGCCATCTGATCCACAGCAGCTGGATCAGCCCTTCCCACAGGGAACCACAGCTTGGCCCCAGTTCAGCATCTGCCCCTGGGCTGGGGACTCCCCAGCCCCAGCTGGTAGCTGGCCTTGATGCCACCAAAGTTCCTGGGGACTTCCCAGGGCTTCCCAGCCTTTGGAAGGGCTAACATTGCATCAGCCAGGCCTGGAGGAGATGCTCAGTGACACTCAGGGATCTCCTCCTCCTTCTCTTGGCTTTCAAAGCTTTTCCTGCTTTGCATGTTCTCCAGAAGGACGCCAGATCTCCCTGGGGCACTCTTGGTGCCACTTGGATGGGGACCTCCTTGGATCAGACACTAAGAAAACACAAATCCACAAGTTTTTTGTCCTCAGGCAGGTAATTAGTGGCTTGGGCTTTGCCTACGCCAAGCCAGTGGCTCTGCAAGACATAGCAGGTCCTGGGTTTTCCAGACTTTTCATCAGCTGGCCAGTGGCATACATAAATCCCAGCCCAGGAAAATCCTGGATGAGCCTTCGCTGTTCTCCACAGTCCCAAAATCCACTGAGCACTTTCCCATCAAAGCTCAGCACCAGCAGAAGAACCATGCTCAGGGCAGGGTCCCATCTGCTCTCCAGAAGTTGATTCCCAGCTCACCATTCCAGCTTGGGCCTCTAGCCCCAGCAGGACTTTTCAGCCCCAAACGATGAATTTTTGGAGAAGGCTCCATTACCCAGCGTGGCCCTGGCTGGGTAATCCCATCACCACATCCTGACACATTTTTTCCCCAATACCTGCAGCAAAAGGGAAAAATCCCCCATAGCCTTTTGTCCTCCCATCCCACCACCTCAGGCCAGCACCAGCTTGGAGGCTTCCTGCTTTCCTGACCTCCTTGCTGCTCCAAACATCTCTGGGGCTCAGTGGATGGCCTGAGGCTGTGTCCTGCTGGATTTGACTGCAAGGGATTAGGGACAGACTGGGGAGGCAGCACAGGATGCTCTCACAGCCTCAAAGCTTGGAGACACCATCACAGCCTGGGATGGTTGCAAGTTGGTGCTGTGAAAAATGCATATGATATGATTGGCTCTTTGCAAATATTAAAATGAATACTAGATGTGTTATGTTGGAAAGTTATGCTGTATTAATCTCTTTTAAGTAGTGCTGTATGAATCTCTTTTAAGTAGTGTGGTAAATATTGTTTTTAGGCTATAGCATAATATTAAAATAGAAACTATGTGATGTAAGATACTTTTGGTATTATTTTGTATACTTTTCCATTCCTAGCTCAAGGAATGGAAAAGATAATCAAGAAATTCTTCACATTATCCTATGTGTATAGAGATAACAGCAACGACACCAAGATCCCAAGAGAAGAATTATTGCCTCCTTATCAGGACAGCTCAGACTTTGAGGAACCAAGAAGGTCGATTTACAAGATGGGGGGGAAGCTGAAATTAAGCAGAAACCCCCTAGTTTGAAAGGAATGTTTGAATCATGTATGAGATCTATGAATATGCAATAGGCTATTGCTTTTAAGGGGTAATCCTTTGTTAGCAAAGTGTGCTTTGTGGCAGAGTGCCAGGCACCCTATGTCCGTAATTCTTTACTTTTTATTGTCTCTTATTGTCCTAATTGTTATTACTATTTTCATTACTATTAAACTTCTAAAATTTTAACAAAAGCAAATGGCATCCCTAAAATCTCCATTGTATCCCCACAAAAACGAGTGGGCAGCACATGGAGAAGTCCTTTTCCATGACAGCATTTCAAAAGTCCAGGAGGAAAAAGAAATTCCAGAGAATAAATCAATAAACTTCTCTCAATGTGGTTTTAATTAGCAGTGTTGATGCAGACTTCAAAGGGAGGAAGGAGAGAGGAGGAGGAGCAGAGGCTCTGATTTAGCTCTTAGCAATGTGTATTCCTCTGCATCCAGCAAAGATTGAGAAAGGGATTGATTTTGGGGAAAAAAAAAAATCCCCAGATGTTAACACATTTGCAACCCAAAAACCCATGGGAAAAAAAGCCCCAGATCCTCACATTCCTGCACTGACGCCCATCAGCTCCTCCCAAACACACGTGGCCATTGCTGACATCAGTTCCAGGAGAGCCGCAGGAGCTGGGAGGTGTTTTGGGGCCAACCCGCCTGTTTTGGAAACACTTTCCTCATTTCGAGGGTGGTGGTGCCAGCTCATCTTGGGCACGATGCCCTCCTTTATCTTCGGCTTCCCCATCGCCCCGAGGCTGCTCCTCCCAAGGTCATCCCACTGATCCATCTGGGTGGCTGCTCCTTATCTGCCCAACCAGGAGCAGCTTCCCCTCTCCCCTCCAGGGATGGATGGAAGGCTGAGATAAAGATCCACTGGCTCCAGAAAGGGGGATGGAAAGAGGTTCTCCCATCCAAGCACGAGGTGGAGGGGACAATCTGGACACCCAGGACACCGCTGGGCCAAAGAGCCCCAGGGCACCTCGTGCCCATTGTCTGGGCACGCCTGGATATGGGGAAATTAACATAAACCCAGATAAAACCAAGAGCAAATTAGCATAAAATGTATATACAGCCAAGAGAGGAGGGTGAGAGAGAAGCTGTTGCACTTCTCCAGGTATTTCCAAAACTTCTCTCCAGAGCCATGGTAGGAGAAAGCTCATTTTCCTCCAAAATTTTGTGCAGGCTGAAACCAGCAGAGAACCAAGACCAGGGGGAAAACCAAACCCAAACCCGTGGCGTTTTGCATCTCATCCTCTCCTGGGCCTGAGAGGATGCTCGGGAGAGGGAGAGCTTCAAATGCTGGCTCAGAGGGGTCCATCCCCACCATCTCCTGATTTCCACAAGGGAAGAGGAGATGCTGGCACGGTGAAGCCTCAGCTGGAACATCCCAGAAGCACACCTGGATGCCACGGGAGCGCCGCTGGCTCCGGGGGGGTGTTGGGAAGGGGTCATGGGGAGGAGCCGGACCGAAGGACAGCCCCGTGCTCGGCACTGGCCGGGTGGGGACGCGGCCGGCCGGGATTTTCAGCAGCTGAGTGAGCCAGCAAAGCAAACACGAGAAAAGAGCTCCCGAGTCATATAAACAAACAAACAACCAATTAAGAGATGAAATGAATCTCCCAAGTACATAACCTTTCTGTTTAAACACTCTGGGCCTGGAAGTGTTCCAGCACATCTGACCCAGCTTCGCCTGTGATCTCCCTGCGGGATGAAAGGGGCTGGGTTTCAGGGAGTGACTTTTCTTCTGCCTCTCCCCCCACCTAATTATATTATCCTTTCTTTCTTGTGTTGGCTAATTTCAAAGGGAAAGTCCCTAGATGTTTCCTTCTGTTAAAAATGGGTTAGAAACCATTGTAAAATAGTTGATAATTGTTAAACATGTACTGTTAGTTTGGTTATTGTAAAAAGGGTTAAAAGGGTAGTTATAAGAAATCCGGTACTCAATGTACCACAAGTACACCTGAGTAAAGTGCATCACCCCCCAAGTGAAATGAGCCAGCCTGGACAGAATCGTAATGGCCAATCAAGCACCGAAAGCCTTCATGCAAATGAAGGATCCAAAAAGAAACCAATCCAAAGGGATAAAAAACAAGATAAAAAGGGGCATCTGACCCACTGAATTTGTGCTGCTCCACCTGGAACACCGGGGCCATCGCTGCTGAGCAGCCCCGACGGGAACGCTCTTGCTCGGCCCGCGGGCCTCCTTGCTTTAGGCCTTTCTTTTTATTATAATAAATGCTGAAATCACTTGAGTACCGGGAGTGTGGTCCCGTTTTTAACACTTCTGCATTCCCTTCTCAGCACGGAGCAGGAGCTGCCTCCCTCCCCATCCCTGGAACAGGACTGACTGCAGTGACCTGTTAATGACAGAATTTAAGGACGGTATAGAGGAAACGAAACTGTCCTTAAACTGGGGTAAATCGACCCACCAGCATTAAAAGAGCAGAGGGAAGAGAAAAACAGGCTTCAAAAGGAAGGCAGACAGCCCTGGGAGAATTCTGGGGGAGAATGAGTATGCTTCCACAACAGGACAAAGCACAGAGGTTTAAGTGGGTTAAACCCAGTAGCAGTAGTGTTAATTTTACTGGGGTTTCTGTCCTCTGCAGCTCAGGGGACCCTCGGCCAGCTCCCTCCTTGGAGCATCCAACACCCCACGAGCTGCCAGACTCCCTCCTGCCTGCTCTGGGGCTTCCCTGTGCAGCCACTGCTGATTCAGGAGAGCGAGGGACTCACCCTGCTGGCTTCAGCACAGCCTCTAATCCCAGGCTTAACTTTAAGCCCAGGTTTGGGGTCCCACAGAGGACAGTAGTCACACAGCCCAGCCGAGGTCACCGCTGAGTTATGCTGACTCTTTCCAGGGATGGGGCAGGGTGGGGTGTGTGTGGGTGTGTGTGTGTGCACGGTTTTAATTAGTGCTGTTAAATTGCTTAAATCCACACCTCTGCAGAATTTTGTTAACCAAAACTAAGCGTGGAGGCTGCAGGGATAAGGACCATTTAGAGGAAGCATCACTTACTAGTTTTTGAGAAAGAAAACCCTTGCTTGATACCAGACTAAGAGCTCTTTC